TTCAAAAAGAACAACCCAGGTCAACATATTGGCAATGGTTATATACAGTGACTCATTTATAATTATATTATAGTAATAAGAAAATAACGCGCCATCAAAACATAAGAAATAAAAACATTAAAACACGAATGTTTCTTTTATACACAATACAAACTTCTACTGTCCTTACTGTGATTTAAAAATATATATTGAGAGGGCCTGGCTCATGAGTGGTGAACCCTTCCAGCGGTTTCACCAATTTAATACACCAGACCGCTTTTAGAGCTCTAATACTGTATTGGACGTTCCAGCTTATATATGTTACACTGAAGGGTGGAATCTTGTTTATGGTATTTAAGCAAACTATGGACATAAGCTTTTAGGACAGTAGAATTACATATAAATATTTACATCGAGCAATGCTCTTCCACAAACAATAAGTACAAGGTCAGTTAGGTATATTTAATTATAAAACAATAACACGCGATCTATATATAGGAAATGAAACCATTAAGGCGCGAATTTTTCTTTCCAAATAATGGTTTGCATGTATACAAGTTATGAGATCTTTTTCAACTACACTCATGGACAAAAGGAATTTGTACTTTTTAGCATGTATTAAGGATTCAGACAATAACTCTGAAATATATTACAGTGACCTTTATTAAAGACATACAATTAACCAAGTGTGTACAAAATTGCCTCTGTCTCCTTAAAAAAAAAAACAGACGACCTTCAAAACAGGCTTCAAAGACTTTCCACTTCCTCAATTTCTGTCCAAGAGTGTACCATGGTTTCGTGCCTATGGCAATCATCAGTATAGGGAATTCAATTCCTTAACATCCTACGAGCTATGAAATCAGTTGAATGTTGTATGTAACTAATGTAGAAACAATAAACATTTGAGATTTATTGTTCAAATAGAACTCAGAGAGATTATTTCTCTAAAACTAGCCGTTTGATGATTGGTCAAATTTGAATGATAATTTCCTCGGCCTTGTTCTTTAGCTCTCATAATAAGTCATCTTTAAAGTAAAAGTTAATTTTTGAGAATATTAAAATAAATAATAAGATGCATAAAAATATTTAATAGTAATTTCTATTAACACAAAGCAATAACGCGCCATCTATACATATAAAATGAAAGGAATTAAAAGCACGAATGTTTCTTTTATACATAATACAAATTTCTACTGCCCTTACTGCAATGAAAAATATATATTGGGAGGGCTTGGCTCATCAGTGGTGAGCCCTCCCAGCGGTTTCGCCAATTTAATCTACCAGACCGCTTCTCAGTGCTCTAATACTGTATTGGACCATTCTACTTATATATGCAGCTGATATGAGCCAAGCCCTCCCAATATATTTTTTCATTGCAGTAAGGACAGTAGAAATTTGTATTATGTATAAAAGAAACATTCGTGCTTTTAATTCCTTTCATTTTATAAGTAATTTCTATTTTTAAAAAAGTTTAATGATAATGATAGGAAAGTATATTCGTCTGATGAAACAAATTAACGTTACAAGAAAACCACTGCCATCTATAAGATTAAATGTGAACTAAATGTTGCATTGAAAAAATATATATATGAAATTAGAAGACTACTTTCCCATTTTTTACATAAAGGTTTCTGTATAGAGTTAAACCTGTCTATAGCGCCTTCTCTTGGTACTCACCCAAATAAGGTGCTATAGAAAGGGGTGCTATAGACAGGTCACTTTTAATGTAAATAGCATCGTACTACGTTATTTAAAATCGGGCGCTATAGACAGGTTTAACTATATATTTATTTATTCAATTATTATCTAAAAATGGAGGTAAATGACATACACACCTATGAACAGATTTGAATAATAGATTTAAAAAGTTGCATAGCTAAAATGCCAATATGTAAAGTGTTGGGGAAGAGATGGAGGTATCGGACGTGTTAATAAGAGAGTGGGCCGAGGGCTTCCCCAGAAACTCAATCAGCCTCCGCAAATGAGTTAGCTGTCAGAAAGGATCTAATTTGTGGCTCGGAGCGGCTTCTTTGAGGAGCAAGGACAAAGGGTGTTTCAGCAGCCTTTAATTCAATAAGCCATGTTTTACCTCATTGTTAGACTTGTTAGTTACTGTAGTTGTGGACAGTGCCTAGTTCAATAAGCCATGTTTTACCTCATTGTTAGACTTGTTAGTTACTGTAGTTGTGGACAGTGCCTAGGTCAATAAGCCATGTTTTACCTCATTGTTAGACTTGTTAGTTACTGTAGTTGTGGACAGTGCCTAGGTCAATAAGCCATGTTTTACCTCATTGTTAGACTTGTTAGTTACTGTAGTTGTGGACAGTGCCTAGGTCAATAAGCCATGTTTTACCTCATTGTTAGACTTGTTAGTTACTGTAGTTGTGGACAGTGCCTAGGTCAATAAGCCATGTTTTACCTCATTGTTAGACTTGTTAGTTACTGTAGTTGTGGACAGTGCCTAGGTCAATAAGCCATGTTTTACCTCATTGTTAGACTTGTTAGTTACTGTAGTTGTGGACAGTGCCTAGGTCAATAAGCCATGTTTTACCTCATTGTTAGACTTGTTAGTTACTGTAGTTGTGGACAGTGCCTAGGTCAATAAGCCATGTTTTACCTCATTGTTAGACTTGTTAGTTACTGTAGTTGTGGACAGTGCCTAGGTCAATAAGCCATGTTTTACCTCATTGTTAGACTTGTTAGTTACTGTAGTTGTGGACAGTGCCTAGGTCAATAAGCCATGTTTTACCTCATTGTTAGACTTGTTAGTTACTGTAGTTGTGGACAGTGCCTAGGTCAATAAGCCATGTTTTACCTCATTGTTAGACTTGTTAGTTACCGTAGTTGTGGACAGTGCCTAGTTCAATAAGCCATGTTTTACCTCATTGTTAGACTTGTTAGTTACTGTAGTTGTGGACAGTGCCTAGGTCAATAAGCCATGTTTTACCTCATTGTTAGACTTGTTAGTTACTGTAGTTGTGGACTGTGCCTAGGTCAATAAGCCATGTTTTACCTCATTGTTAGACTTGTTAGTTACTGTAGTTGTGGACAGTGCCTAGGTCAATAAGCCATGTTTTACCTCATTGTTAGACTTGTTAGTTACTGTAGTTGTGGACTGTGCCTAGGTCAATAAGCCATGTTTTACCTCATTGTTAGACTTGTTAGTTACTGTAGTTGTGGACTGTGCCTAGGTCAATAAGCCATGTTTTACCTCATTGTTAGACTTGTTAGTTACTGTAGTTGTGGACTGTGCCTAGGTCAATAAGCCATGTTTTACCTCATTGTTAGACTTGTTAGTTACTGTAGTTGTGGACAGTGCCTAGTTCAATAAGCCATGTTTTACCTCATTGTTAGACTTGTTAGTTACTGTAGTTGTGGACTGTGCCTAGGTCAATAAGCCATGTTTTACCTCATTGTTAGACTTGTTAGTTACTGTAGTTGTGGACTGTGCCTAGGTCAATAAGCCATGTTTTACCTCATTGTTAGACTTGTTAGTTACTGTAGTTGTGGACAGTGCCTAGGTCAATAAGCCATGTTTTACCTCATTGTTAGACTTGTTAGTTACTGTAGTTGTGGACAGTGCCTAGGTCAATAAGCCATGTTTTACCTCATTGTTAGACTTGTTAGTTACTGTAGTTGTGGACAGTGCCTAGGTCAATAAGCCATGTTTTACCTCATTGTTAGACTTGTTAGTTACTGTAGTTGTGGACAGTGCCTAGGTCAATAAGCCATGTTTTACCTCATTGTTAGACTTGTTAGTTACTGTAGTTGTGGACAGTGCCTAGGTCAATAAGCCATGTTTTACCTCATTGTTAGACTTGTTAGTTACTGTAGTTGTGGACAGTGCCTAGTTCAATAAGCCATGTTTTACCTCATTGTTAGACTTGTTAGTTACTGTAGTTGTGGACAGTGCCTAGGTCAATAAGCCATGTTTTACCTCATTGTTAGACTTGTTAGTTACTGTAGTTGTGGACAGTGCCTAGGTCAATAAGCCATGTTTTACCTCATTGTTAGACTTGTTAGTTACTGTAGTTGTGGACAGTGCCTAGGTCAATAAGCCATGTTTTACCTCATTGTTAGACTTGTTAGTTACTGTAGTTGTGGACAGTGCCTAGGTCAATAAGCCATGTTTTAC